CTTTTTTCCCTTACACACATATTTTTTGTCTTGTAAAATTTTAAATAATTTTTTCTTCGTATTTTATTTATATTATATTTCTTATATTCATTTTTATTTTCTGTCTGTTACATTTCACATCACTATCATTTATTATCAGCAATATTCAATTTGCCCTCTTTCTGTTTACTTCGCTATTTTGCACTTTCTATTTTTACGACTATTCTACTTTTCTTTTCATAGTTCAACCATACATACATATATGTATGCATATGTAAATGGTTGAACGATCATTGCCCTTCGCATGCACTGCACACTTGATTGTCAACACATGCATATGCACACACATACAAAAATACATTTTTCACTTCCGCCAACACCCGCGGTCTTGCTTGCTTGTTAGGTAGGCCTGTTTACATAGATATGTATGCATGTATCTAGTATGTCTCGCTATCAATCGCGCAGATTTCCTTGTAGGCGTTCTGCCACACACACATACACACTCAATCACACACACGTGATTTGCACAAATAGCTGTCAACAGCAGCGAAGACGACGACGACGACGACGGCGACAACACCAACAACAACTAAATAGAAGCCCCTCAAGCGCAATTGCGATACATGACAACAGCAACAACAGGCAAGCGTCTCAGTAGCAGTCAGACGAGCAGCCAGCCAGCCATCCAGCTAGCGATCTTTTTGGTGTGGTTGCAATTTGCCGCTTAGCGAGCTCTTCAATTTCTTACTTCTTGCTGCTGCTGCGTCGCGCCGCCTTCTAATCGTTTATTGCATGCAATTTGTTTATTTATCGTATCGTGTTGTTGTATGGTTTGTTGTTATTTTCGTCGTTGTTGGTGCTTACGACTACAAAATTTTGCAACTATAAAATGCAATTGCAAACTCTTCTGCAATTTAATTTACGCAAATCATCGTCGTCAGTTTTGTTGCTGTTCCTGTAACTGTCACCAATGATGCGTTTGGTTGGCAACGCGATTTTCACACTGAAACTTGTTTTGCGCTTGCAATTTATGCAATTTCGTATAATTATTGACGCGCGCTACATTTGTTGTTGTTTTTTTTTTTTTTAATACAACAAAACTAACCTAGGCAAACCCAAAAATGCGTGTTTATTACTTTTAAGGTAGAAACATGAAAGTGAGTTACCAATAAAATACGATTATTTTCTCCAAATGAGAAAAATGCACTAGTCGCTTGTTTGGCCGTGCACGTGTGTATTACTCGTTGCAAATTGAGAATCATGTTCGCGCATGTTACAGTGTGGGACAATGCATAGGCTATAAATTATCAACTTACCATTCATTCTCACTTGTCTATGAGACAATAAATTAATTAATAAACAAGCACAACTGTCATATCTTAAGCGGGAGCGAACGACATTCAAGCTGTCACATAAATTATGACAATTCCGCAGATGAAGAAGGAAAACACAATCACAATAATCAATACAAATATTATGTATGTAACTACAAAACAATAATAACAAGAAGATAAAGTGCTGAAAAAAATTACAATGAAAACAGAATTAAATTGAAATAAATAAATGTAAAAATAAATAAAATAACTACAAGTAAATATAGTAAAAATGAATACAATAAAATTAAAAGTAATAAAAAAATATAACATAATTAAAATTAATAAAAAAATATATGTATATAATATATTTAAAAAATTAAAATTTAAAATTATAATGAAATAAATTTAATGAAATTAAGCCTAATGAAAATATATAATAAATAACTTAAAATAATTAAATATAATAAAATTAAAATAATTAAATATAATAAAATTACAATTAATGAAAATAAATATAATGAAAATAGCTAAAATAAAACCAAATAATTAAAAATAAAATAGAAAGGTTAAAAAATGCAAGTGAACATAGTAAACCAAAAGCGCCAAAAAAGAAGAAAATTAAAAATACGTAGCATGTACATATGTAAAAGGTAAAATTACTAAATAAAAGTGAAACGAAAACGAAAGTGATAAGTCAAGCAAAAATTACAATTTTCAAAAAAATATAGAAATTCAAATGTATTTAATGAAAAAATATTAAATGTAAAAGTATGTAATGAATAATAAATTAAAGTAATAAATATATAATAAATAAATTAAATTAAAAAATAAGATTTTATTTGTATAGGGCGAATAAATTATTATATATAATATTTATCAAAATTTTACATACATAAGTAAAACAGTTAAGTTCAAAGATAAAAAGAAGCGAATGTCAATGTTAAAAAAAAATTTAAAATGTGATTGAGATTTAATGATTTGCTCTAAAATTTGAATGTAAAGCTAAACGCGTAGAATATTTTACGGCGCACTTATCAACACCCATTAAAAATATGTAATTATAGAAACATTTAAAATTATTAATTTTATTGTTGCTTAATTTCAAATTCACTTTGCTATCAGTGGATAATTAATTAATTAAATAATTTGTTTGATTTACCTTTTACTTTTTCTTATTTAATATGTTAATTAAATTTTAATTGTATGCCCCTTCAAAATAATTATTTTTAATTCATTGCGATTAATGAGAAATTTATTTATGTACATACATTCATACATATGTACTATGTATTGTAAGTTCACATTACTTATGTATATTGTTATGGGAATCTAAACGTGAATGCTATATATCAAAGTTATTGCCATGTGAATTTCTTAATTACAATACAATACAAACAAAGCTATTAATAATTATCAATATAATTAATGCAGTTATAAACAATAAAAGTGAAAAAAGTTAACATACATAACTATTATGAATTCTAACTCACAGGCCCCCACGAAATAGAAGCAGTAAAAGAATGAATAGAAGCCGAAATGTAGTTGAAATATAAAAAAATAATAATATGTAAATAATTGCAGTTTAAAATTTTTCAATTTTGAAATTATTTTGAACTTGTATTATGGAAAATAAATTACAATAAAAAAGGTTTATGCACTTATTGAAAAAAAATAACAACAATACAACTGTCGTAGTTTACTTAAGGAATGTCCCTTTTTGGGTAAAGTTACAATTGATAATTGATAACTTTTGCACAGTTAAAATATAATGTTCTTATGACAAATAGTTACAACCATGCAGCAACAAATAAAATATTATTGCATATATTTATAGCCACGTCTGTAAACGACGTAAAGTATTAGCAGTGACGCACGTAACGGAGCAATAACAGTAATGTATCGACTTAATTACTGAATATCATATTTTCTTTTACATAACTCTGTTATTAACGTTAAGCTGCTAACAGTCGTTTTCCTTACATTTGTGCTGATAAATAACACTTACTGTTACATTGGACTGTTAATCCTATTTGAATGTGCTGTTAATTGATCATGCAAATATATACCTAAATTATGCCATTACGTATTGAATTTTTTAGTTTTTATTTCTTTTTTTTTTTTTTAGTTTTATGCACAATTACTCTCTCAGAAAATGTAAGCCAACGCCTATAAAAAATACTTACTCATTCATATTCGTTACTTCACCTGTTAATTTATTCCGACAATTATTAGTCACAAAGTCACACTCAAGATTGATCAAGCTGGGAATGAGGTTAACATTACATGTGCTTACATTTATGTATGTATGAATGTAAATGTAGTTTGAATAATTCGTTAGAGTACATATAGTACTCTTTGCTTATGGTGCCAGATTGTAAATTTTGAACAACAGAATATTTAACTTGATCTTTTGAGATATTTGATATGAAGCTCAAAAGTTTTCAATGTAGTCTAGTTTATATATTATATATATATATAATTGGAGCTTTGTAACCGCCAAGTTGAAGTTTTGCGTCTTGATGTTTTTCCAAAAAGTGAAGAGACCTACAATTTTTACCAAGCTGTCTCCGAGGGGCTGATGATTTTTTATGAGAAGCTTTTGATTTTAATGTCAGAAATACACTCGCCGAGGGGCGACCGCAATTAGAAAATTTAGGTTAATTTTTATTTAAATTAATTTTCTATAACTTTTTGGATGTTAGTACGCCAGGATTTGTGCCCGAGCCTTCCGAATGGCGGTACGCAATGCGGCCGCTTTTATACCGATTGTAAATTTGTAAGACCAGTTTTGAATTTCACCAAGAAAGTTTTCAGTCTAGACCAGTTTTCAATTTATAACAGTAGTTAGGATAGGAAGGTTTTAAATTATGAATGTTTAACCTAAACTAACTTGGAATTAGTTTAACCATTTGCTAAATATAGTATTGAATACAAAAGTAATAGTTAAAAGTCAAAAGTGTTGTAGACATTCTAAAAAGGTTTCTCTTTTGATAATACTTAAATTTTTATCAGTCTTTATTTTAAATGAAATCTTTATTACTTAACCTAAAATCTATATCAGTTTTGATGTTAGTGCTAAAATTTAATTTTCGACCAAATTTGATAATAATAGAATGTATGTAATAAGTTTTTAATATACTAGTTTTGACCTTGGACCAGTTTTTAATTTCGATCAACAATAATCGATAAAGCTTGGATTTTTGTAGCATTAAACTTTAAACCAGTTTCGATAATCACAGAGTCTTTATCTTCGACAAGATTTGAATTTTGGTCTTGAAAAAATTATACCAGTTTCGAAATAAGAAGTTTCCCATGTTTGAAGTTATGAAATATCATTTGATTTTTTATTTGACACTATTGGGAAATGTCAAAGATTTTTTCATTCATATTTGAAGTCACGATATCCAGTCTGTAGCGTGACTAGCTACCATCTGTGTGCATGTATGCATGTATGTATGTGTTTTCTTTTTTGTTTTGAAATAAGGTTGTTTTTTCATCTTTCGACAAACAGCGCTTATAATCACCTGGAACTATGAATCTGGCATCCTCATATTCATATTACGCCGGTACATTGCGCTCATACAGGCACTGACACTAACACATTGAAAGCAAAGAGCAACATCTACAATGCTGTTAGCCACTGTTAACTGCTTAACAGCCACTTTTGCACCGGATATCGTATTCATTCATCCAATGCATGTAGTTAGTTGTTGGATAAACGAGCGGCCGAATGGTTGTATAAACGAATGCGCAAACGAACGATCGGGTCGGTTGGTGTTTAATACAGTTTTTTTTTTGTTTTGATTTTATGTGATTGTGCTGTTCATATGTATTTTGATCATGACGAACGCGGATTGTGTGCTTTACAAAATCACACATACGCATACATGCATAGAAATTTGTAATCTGTGTTGTATACAATTGCTGTCGCGCTATTTAAAATTGTTATTGGTGTTTTTTTTTTACCGAGCTCGGTAAAATTTTTGTTTAGAGCCACAGGCTTTCGCAAATAAATTTTATATGGATGGAAAGAGGAAAAATCATAGATTCTAAAACTAATTTTCTTTTCTTTAGCTGACTTATAGTTTTTTAATAATTCTATTTTAAATTTCGAGTAATAAATGCAAAATTACGTCTACATTGGAGTTGCCGGACTACTAAGTAAAATAATACTTAAGTACAGAGCTTGNGTTTTGATTATAATATAATTTGTTAATCTTTATTTAAGTCACATTGCGCGTTTATATATACAAAATAAGTGAAACTATTTAATAAAATCAAAGTAATATTTGTTTTTGTTAAACAAAAATGAAAGAATAGTGACCGATTCATAAAGAAATAATGGAATAAAGTTAACACTTTATAACAACAAATAACTTATAAACTTTAATATATTCAAATTCCAAAAGTTAAAATATTGGAAAAATATATTTCTGTCATCATTCCTACCAAGTTTCATGTCGAAATTCCTGGTTGTTTGCTTACAATATCAAGTGGGGCTGCATATCAAAGCTCAGCCCCGAGCTCAATCATATACAAGTAGACTTGTTGGTTGTTGCTTTTGTGATATTGGATACCGGTTTATTTTGTTGTTGCTTCGCTATGCAGTGCCGCACCGAATAGGAGTACAAAAGCAAACAAGCCAGCAAGCAAGCAGCAAAAGCAATTCGTTTGTGTTTACCCATATTTACTTACCGATCTTCAGTGTGTTTTTCTTGCGTACTTACTTACCTACTTACATGTGGCGTTGCTTGCTTTGACTTGATTTTCATTTAATATTTCTTATTGTATCGCCAGTTCTTAAAGTTCGTACACGCTCGTAAACGACATATTGTCAAGGCGTCGATCTGACAGTGCAACGCCATTTAATTTTTTTGTTTTTTAATTTTATTTTTTCACGGGCGTTGTTTCTTACCAACATAACTGCGTGCTTACACGTATACCAACATACACACATATCAATATTTTATTTATAAACGCGAAGTCCTAAACACTTCTTAATAATACCATCGAAAATGGTGTAGTGCGAATAAGGAAAATGGAAAAAATTTAAAAAACAAGAATGAAAATAAAAAATTAAAAACACAACAAACAAATTCAAATAACAAAAGTAGCGTGTGTAACAGCCGTAAGCTCGCGAAAAAGAGAGAGAGAGAAAAACAAAAAATTCGAAAAAACAAAAAAAAAATCGCGAATTTTACTCTTACCGCCAATTAAATTGTGAAATTTTTTATGCGTGACATGTTTGCTCTACGAAGCACCGCCAGAAATAACGAAGTCTAATCATGCAATAACAATTGCGCTACCGTTGAAAAAAATTTAAAATCAGCACGTCAGCTGCTAAAATTATAATTAGTAGTTACTTGGCATTCGTTCTCATACCAAATAGTAGAACCACCCTATGACTAGCAGAAAAGCTAGCCACAACTCTATACATACATACATATGTATGTAAATACCGACATGTAAAAGTCGATTTGTAACCGATTTTCCGTATTTTCCTTTCTATACGTTTTTTTCTACAAATCGACCGAGTTAAGAGTTTAGAGTGATTTCTGGAGCAGTTAATAAATTTTTATAAAAGACTACTGAAAAAAAATGTTGTTGTGTTTGGTGTGTAGTGGTTCAAAAACCGCTCTTAAGAGTAGGCGAGACTAGTCTAAATTATCGAGGTTACGTAATGAGAAGCCCAGGAAACGAAGTGTTTCGACGGACTCCGACCAGAGGATAAGGGGAATCAGATGATTTGATTTTAGGCGGCCTCCGAAGAGGTGATTAGTGTCGTATCATTGCATGTGAGACATACGAGGTGTTTGTTGGGGCCCAGTTTAGATAGATGGGAATTCAGTCGACTGCAATATTCAGATCATAATAGTGACAGTATTACTGGCGGCCGCGGAAGGCTCGCGTTCAAATCCTGGTGCTGTTCTAACATCCAAAAAGTTATAGAAAATTAATTTAAATAAAAAATTAGCTAAATTTTCTAGTTGAGTGTACTTCTGACATGAAAATCATAAGCTCCTCATAAAAAACTATCACCCTTTCGGAGGCGGCTTAGTATCGTGTCCACAAGAATGAAGTGTTTCAAGACACGAGTTGGGCATACCAAATTCAACTGGATCTTAGCTCAGGCGTAAACCTTTTTTAATATTTTTTTTTTTTTTTTTTTTTTAGTGCTAGCGAAAACGATTTCTCACCGCTGGTAGCCATAGATATTCAAATACTTTTTTTACTCGCTTTATCACAAATTTTTCTTTTAATTCTTCACAATGGCATAACAAAATGGAATAAAAATCACACACTTGATTTGCGTAGCTCTAAATAAATCACACATTTCTGCGCAACAGCTGTCAAATAACAAACAGCTGCCTCTGCCGCTGACACTGCTCGCCGCATGCTCGTCGGCTGTGCGCATTCGCTTTTCACTCGTTGCTGCATTCGTTTTTGTGTAAAGCAAAATGTTTCGTTCACACATATCTTATGAGTGTGTTGTATGTTCCTGTTGTTGTTGTTGATTACTTGGCGATTAGATATGAAGGTGGATCTATGAAAAATACGAAAAGATTACAAAAAATTAAACATATCTACATACATTCTTTTGTATAACTATTTGAAAAAAAAATAAAAATAAAATTCTTTATTATAAAAGTTTTATTTCGCATCTCTGTTCTTCTGCACCTTCACGTTCTTAATTAGTTATGGTTGTGATATTTTCTAGTTGTTTTTTGTTTATTTTATTCAATCTTGAAGTTTCTTTAGGGTAAAAAAGCTGCGTATATAGATTTTGTCATACCCCTGTTTATTAAGAAATAACCCAAATCGAGCGCTGGTTAATCACTGTTTCTTTGTTTTTAATTCGTATGAACTTACACAATGGTAAATTTTTTTAATTGAAAAAAAAAAACTGGATTTTAAAAGCAAATGAATTTTTGTCGGCGTTTTTATTTTCAGTTTTTTTTTCGTCATTGGCAAGGTCATTGCTATAAATTAATGTAAGCTGTTCATTAAGCGTTGATATCAGTCTCATAGTATATCGCCTACACTGCTAAAACTAAATTCTCATATATTTTATTTACTTTATATGATTTTTATTTTTTATTTTCTTGCCTCTTTATTTTTATTTAATTTAATTCTATTTATTTGTTTTTATATATTTATTTTTATTTAATTTAATTCTATTTATTTGTTTTAATATTGATAATTTTAATTTTTATATTTGCTTCTCTATTTTATTTTTATTTTATTTTTGCTTCTCTTTTTTATTTTTATTTTATTTTTATATTATTTTTCCTTGGTTATTTATTTAATGTTTTATAAATATTTTTAACTTTTTATATTTTTTTATTTATTTTTGACGTTATTTTTTTTTTGCGTAGATATATACATATATTCATTTTATTTCTTTTGTTTATTTTTTTATTAATATCTTTTGATTATGACTTTATTTTCAAATTTAATTTTTTTTTATCATATTTGTAGTAGTTTTTTAGTTTTTATTATATTATTTTGTATCACGTTTATAATAAAATATTTAATTTTTATATACATTTATTTTTATTCCTTGTTCATATATTTTTTGTTGCTTATGTTTTTATCAATATAGATATATTTCACCTTTAATTAATGTTTTTTTTTAATTTTTTTACGTTTGATTTTCATATTTTGAAAATTTTCAATAAGATTTCTTATTTTTATTATTATTTACTTATTTTGTGGTTTCTTTTATTATTATTTTGTTATTGCCATTTTTTTGTTTTCGTGCTTTTATTTATTTTATTTTTTATTATGTACTCTTTATTTCTCTATTTTGTTATTATGTCTTTGATGCCTATTTAATTTTTATTTTTGAATTTTTGTTTTTTTAATAAGAATTTAATTTTTACATATTAAATTTTTATTTTTAATTTTTTGTTTTTATTTATTTGCTTTTATTCATTTATTATCTTAGTAGTAATGTTTCGTTTTTTAATTCTATAATACTTTTCCTACCCTTTTTCTTACCTGTTCGCTTTATTTTTAGTGCATTATATTCTTTTTGTTTTTAGCCATTTATTGGGGTCTTAGTTTTATCTATGAATATACATACATATGTATGTATGTACATATGTTAAATATCACTTAATTGTGACTCATCATTTTTATGGTTGTTTTTATCTTTATTACAAATTCTTAAGAATTTTCCAATAATGTTATTTGAACTGAGCCAAGCGTGCACATAAAAAATAAAATAAACTTTATACTGCATTTATACCCCTGTTTTACTACTCCAACAACTTTTATTAAATTCTTATCGGATATCTTGCCTCCATTTCAACGGTGTCTCCGCCTACCTACCTAATCCTCTGTTTATATGCACAATATATTTTATATGTATGTATATTTTTATATAAAAAAAATCATATAAATTACATTGTCTATGCATTATAAACAGCTTAAGCCATATTTGGTGGCATAACATTTTTTTTTTTTTTTTTTTTTTTTTTTTTTTTTTTTTAATTAACAACTTAAAATAATTCGTTGAATCAGTCATGGCGAGCACACGTGTGCAATTAACACAATGCCAACAAGTGTTTTGAACTGCAAATTATAGGTTATGTTATAATTAAAGACTGTAGGTATTTCCATTGCGCACGGGAAGTACTTTCAGAAAACAATGTTAAGTCTGTTAAATGCATGCTCCCATACATATGGAAATCTCAGACCTATTTTCGCGTTAACCACCTCGATTTTTACAACAATCATTCAAATTTTGCCACACACTTCTTTTTTTTTTTCAAATAAAGTTTGAAGATTTCTCCAAATAAAATCATTTATTCAAATCACAATCGCCCAGCTAGGTCAAGAATATACCCACATATGCATGTAGGTATGTATTTTTATACATATATACGTGTATGTATAGGAGTATACGTAGCTAACAGCTTCAAGTCTAATAAGAAAAACAATGAGTAGAAGTTAACGAAGAAAATAAATAGCAATGAGGGAAAAGTAAAAATCTCACAGAAAGTACACATATTTTTGCCTATAAAGCACAACCATATTCATGTCCATATTGTTGTTGTTGTTTCTGCTGCTGCTGCATTAATATTGCATGGCAAGCATACATACATACACATATAGACTTGACAAGCAATGACTGGCAGTTTGCGCAGAGTTTAAGTGAAAATGTTAATTCGAAGCTGAGCAATGATGCGATTAATACACTAATGGAGCTCAGCTCTGTAAAGAGTTAACAGCGGCAGCAGCCAATCAAAAGGCGGTCCATGAAATAATACACTGTAGACTAACATACTGCTGCATGGAGTTGTGCAACAAGTTCTTGCGAGTATATGTTTTTTCGACTACACGTGATTTGCTCTCTCAATCGTGTTTGGCGCTCCAATTACATATATACGTTAACGAAAACTGTAAAACATACGAGTAAAGATATTAAAATATAAATATTAATAAAATGACTTAAAAAAAATAATTAAATTAAATAAAAAATTTTAAGAAAAATAAATGATAAATAACACTTAAATTTATAACAAAAAAATTAAGTAAATAAAAATAAAAATAAATAAATAATATAAAGCAAGAATTACATAAATTAAATAATATTAATTATTTAAAAATGAAATAAATTAAAATAAAAAATAAATAAATTAAAAAAACTAAAAAATTAATTTAAAATTCAAGAAAGGAAAAGGAAAGAAAAATAAAACAGATACAGTCAGCGTCAAAAGAAAGTGTACACGTTTTTCTCATACATTTCACACTTTATTTCTATGTAACAAAATTCAGATTTTTTAAATCAATTATCATTTACAAATGGTAGGCTTCCCAATTTAACAATGGGTAAGAAAACTTCACTTGATATAAGGAAATTAATGGTAAATTTTAAGACGGAAGGAAAATCTTTACATGAAAGCAAAAAAAAATTTGATGAAATAGAAGATCAACCATGTTCGGGTAGACCAAAACGGCTTAATAATACTGAAATACGGTCTGTTGTGAGAGCTGCGGTGATAGATCCAACTGTGAGTGCCGTCAAATTAACGGAAGAAATGTGCAGAATATCCGGATTGAATGTTAGTGCCAGCATGATCAAGCGAGCACTGCATTCTAACGGTGTGTATGGTCGGGTACCAGGGAAAAACCTCACATTTCACCTTCACATTTGTGGAAAAATATAAAACTTAGCAAAATTCGTTTTAGGATTAATGTAACTTTTTTTGAGGAAAGCAAGTTCGTGGTTTTCGTGAAGAAAAAAAATACTTAAGTTTAAACAGAAAAATATTATATCCACTGTAAAGAATGGTGGGGGTTCGGTGATGGTTTAGGGGTGTTTGGCGGCAAGTGGAGTTGAGAAATTGTGTTTAGATCAATCCTGGATCTTCCAATAGGACAACGATCCTTAGCATACGGCAAAAATAGTAAAGGAATGGTTGTTTTACCGTACACCTAAACCACTTGATCACGCCCCAAAATCACTGGACCTCAACCCCATTGAGCATCTGTAGGAGCATTTGGACCGGCAAATAAGGAGAAGAATTATAATCAGCAATAATACAATGAAGGAAATATTACTAGAATTAAAATTTTACCGAATGTTGTGTCCAACTTAGTGGAATCAATGAAAAGGAGGTTGGAAGAAGTTATCAGTGCAAAAGGAAGAAAGGCAAATTATTAGCTTATGAATTTCTTAATTATTCCCAAACTGTACACTTTGTTTGTATGTATTGTTTTTGTTTTTGTAAAAAAAAATTTAATCATCGAAATAAAAAAATGTGAAATGTATGAGAAAACGGTGTACACTTTCTTTTAGCGTTGACTGTAAATGCGCAAAATATAATATAATAAGCAAGTTTACTCCAATTTGCAAAACGGCTTAAAAGTATCACGAGTACTGTCCGATATGGCTGAAATGACATTGAATTCACATATGAAATTACCGCACCATGAATAGTGGTGATTTTCATGATAAGTAATTAAAAAAAATATTGCGGTTAAATGAAAAAAAAAAACACAAAAATACAAAAAACAAAGCGTTTTCTTATCTCGCCTTACGTGTCTTCCTTTGTGGAGTTTTCGTTCGTTCGTAATTTAGCAATTTTTTTTTTGTTGTCGCACTTTTCATTATTTGTTAAATTATAACGACATTATTATCTTTAACATTTAAATGCTGTCTACTTTTCGTCAGCAGTTTCCTATTAAATATTCTCAACGCAGCGTTGTTTTGCTTAAACGTTCTGATTTTACTTGAGTTGTTTATTTGTTTTTAATTTTTTTATGTGTTTAATTTCCTGTTAGCATATACATATGTATGTACATAGATACTTGCAAAATCTGTAAAATGTGACGGGCAAATCGATCATGTTACTGCTTCTTCTTCTCTACTGATATAGACACCGCTTACGCAATTATAGCCGAGTTAATAACATGGCGCCACTCATTCCTTCTTTTCGCAGTTTGGCGCCAATTGGAAATACCAAGTACAGTCTAGTCCTCCTCAACCTGGTCTTTCCAACGGAGTGGAGGTCTTCCCCTCCCACTGCTTCCACCGGCGGGTACTACATCGAAAACTTTCAAATCTGGAGTATACTTATACATCCATTCGACCCCATGACCAAGCCAGCGCACAGCCGTTGTTTCTTGATTCGCTGAACAGTGTCGCGGTCACTGTATAGCTCGGACAGCTTATCGTTCCATCGGCTTTGATATTCTTCGTTCCCAACGCGTAGATGGCAATAAATCAAAACTCATAACGGCGACTCGTCAGATGTTTTCAACGTCCATGCCTCCGTACCATATAGCAGAACGGGAACGATGAGCGACTTGTAGAGTTTGGTCTTCGTTCGTCTAGCGCGGACTTAACTTTTGAATTGCTTAGTCAGTCCCAAATAGTGATTCTGCGCTGATTTTGTTTTTTTGGTTTTAATACTGGTTCAAAGATAGGCGGAATTATCTACCACTTTGAGGTTCTGCCCGGCATAGGAACGACCTGACCTAGGTTGTAAACTATGCTGCACCGATCTGGGCGTCGGGGACGAACGAGACGCAGATGAAGAAGTTACAGGCTTACCAGAACACCGACTACAGAACCGCGACAGGAAACCGCCTAATGTCGCCGGAGCATCATGCTACGAGTTAAGGAGCATAATGCTTTGCTGTGCAAACAATTTCTATTGGGATGTCAACACCATCCGTGACCTTGGCACAACTTAGGTCTGGATGCTGTAGCAGGTTACCTTCCTACTTATCCAGACTCGACTGGCATCATATCCAACGTATGCCCTGCATGTGGAGTGTTTCCGCACCATACTAACGACCTCTTCTCATTCTCCCCTGAACCGACTCATCTAATCCTCCTCTCCCCCTGGTCCAATCCCGTCGAAAGAGCAAGTTTCCTGGACCTCCCACTAGATGACCTCGGCGACATTGTTTAATCAAACCTGGCCTAGGCGGGGTTAGCGAGCCGCTCCAACAACAACAACAACCTCACCTACCCAGCATTTCTTCTGTTTCTTAATTCGCTAAACAATGTCGTCATACATACATATATGTATTTCGAACAGCTAATGGTCCCAGCATTCATCTCTCGAAAACTCCTGCTCCTCGCTGACTCATCAGATTTGGCCGTCCACACTTTTGCATCATATAACATGGGGGAATGGATAATAGACTTACGAGTTTAACGGCGGTCAATGAACCTATATTTTTTCTTTTCTCTAACTTTCCGGACAGCTTGAACTTAGGGCCAATTGTTATTGCTTTTTGGGTGTCACATCTGATATTTGATCACATGTTTTTACTCATAATTCTTATAGTGCTCGCAAAAGAATTTATGAAACATTTATGTAGTTCATCTAAATATGCGAGTATATATGTGCAGAGTACTTTGCTTTATTTAAAGCAAATTTTTCGCATTAAAAATTGCACAATGCTTTTTATTGTATGTATGTAAATATAGAAGTATGCAACTCGCTTGACGTTTACAATTAAATTATTGTCTTATGTTTTGATTAACCCTTTGACGAGGGCACTACTTAAATGCAGACAATCGCTTCTCATTATTAAAACTGATTAAAAGCAAAAACAAAGCATTTTATACACACACAACACATTGTTGAAACGATTTACCGTTTCCTTTACATGTGTAAACATGTTAGCACTCAATAGCGATTGCAGGCGATGTAAACAAGGGTTCGTCTGTAAATGACTGTTAATAACAGATAATTGAAATGTTAACAACAGTTTGTCTGTAATTGGCTTGTTAATAACAGATAATCGCAGTGTTAATCTTAACATTACTTGATTTAAGAACAGAGTGATTGAGAGCGTGTTGGATAAATATCGATAATACTAAACATGTACGCATGTAGTGTGTATTGTTAGTAAATCAGAATGCTTTTTTTTTATCATTTTTAATAATTAAATTATATATTGTCTAAAATGAAATACTCTTACGGCGGTAACAAATGAAGTGATTTAGGGAAGTTTTAAAACATTTACACCATATCCAATATATATATATATATATTATATATTGGATATATACATATTATTAATTATATATATATAATTTTTCGAACGAAATCCATCTACTGAAATAAACTATCGAAATCGATTAAAAAATTGGCGATAAATTTTCACTTGAAATCTATCTAATTTTGAAAGTTAATAATTTTTTATTTGTTATTTTGGAAAATAAGTGAAATCAAAGCGAATGTAAAGTATAAAAAAAGAAATTAAAAAAATAACAATCATTTGTTACAGTTAAAATAAAAGAAGAGAAAATGAAAGTGCTAAAAGACATCATAATAGCGATAATTAAAAAGACATTAATATAACTTGCAAGTTATGTTTAGTTGAAAATTTTGAAGAATAAATACATATGCACGTACATACACTGCGCATGTAGCTTTTTTAAGTGGTTATAATTACGTTAATTTTTGCTACAATTTATGCACAATCATACACGCACGCGCACGCGCACATCTACGCTACGCACAGGCGCCTTATTAGCTTGCGCCCCAACCATACCAAATCCCAGTTACTAGCCCACAATTATACATAAATACAATTTTATATAAATAACATAAACATAAACAATAAAAAAAAAGACAATGATAAAATTGAAATCGTTGTTCCGCAGAGGGCAAGGACCCTCGGGTTCGTCCAAGCACTCCGCCTCATCCTCCAGCAGTCGCAACAAATCTCAGTCCACCACATCGCTAAATACTGTCGGCAGCAGCACTAATCAGGAATCCACAGCCGTCACCCCTACCACAGCCACTTTTTATCCGCCCATCGATCCAGCCACCGAGCGTGGCGTCGATATAGGTGACGGTGATTTGAATATAATTCCATCGTTAGCAGCGCGTACACGCAGTCGTACGCCGGAGGCTGTGCGCAGCACCAACAACAACACCACCGCTAACAACGCATCAAACCTCAGCGCCAATACATTACCACACAAGAAGGCAAAAGTAGCGGGCGGCGGTAAGAAAGGACAAAAGCAGCCAAAACCATTGCCCGTGGTTGTCGTCGCTGCACAGCAACAGCAGCAGCAGCAGCAACAACCAACGCAACCGTTACATCCACCGCCCGCAACACGCACCGAAGTCGGTGTAGCTGCCGCACCTATTGGCAATGTAATGACGACAATAGCCACCTTGCCGGGAAGTCACAATTCCGCGGTTATTACGACGGCGACAGCAGCCGCGGTGTCGGCAACAAATAACAACTACAGCGTCAGCGGTGGTGGCGAATCGAGACTGCCAACATCGGTTGAAGCAGGCATTGACTTGTATAAGCTGAATGCGGCCAATTATCAGCAATTTATTAATAACGAGCAACTATTGCAGCAACAGCAACAACAGCATCAACAACATTTGTTAGAGGTGAGTGGGAGGCGCTTTTATTTCTTAATTTTGTTTTTAATTTATTTTTATTTTTTTTTGTAATTTTTTTTACTTTTTTTGTATTTTTTTTATTTAATTTTTTGTTTATCTTAAACCTTGTTTTATATTTTGTTATTTAATATTTTTTATTTATATTTTTTTTTTAAATTTTTTTTTTATTTTTGTTTATTTTTAATTTTTTTTATTTATTTATATTCTATTTAAATAATTGAAAATCACGTTTTTCTTATTGTTTTTGTTTCAGGCTAAAACCAAAATGCAGGATCTGCAAGCGCAGCTGGAACAATTGGGCCACGAAAAATCATTATTAGAAACGCGTATTGCCGAGTTGATGCCTTATCAGGCGGAAGTAGGCAAATTGAAATCCGAATTGCTGAAGATGCAGGTGAGCTAGAGGACAGCCGGCTTTCAGGAATTTTATTAAATTTTTTTTTAATTGTACAACAATTATTTGGATTGCAAGTTTCACAGCTGATCGCAGCAATGTTGTCGATTTTGTTGGTCAGCTATAGAGAAGTACGTAATCATTACGCATAGTTGGCAACGCTGTTTCACTTTTATCAAATTTGAAAGCGTGCAACTCTGTGCACGCAAATGATTTACCGTTATTTAATTGCCATATGCCAGTTCGGTTATTTAATTAATGCTGACACTTTGTATGACGCGCAATGAGGGCATCATCTGTTATAAATACGTACATATGTATATTTCTTTTTTCAGCTATTTTACACAATTTATGACATTTTCGCTTTTCGCTTTCCACTTCTATCTTACAATACCACCCCTTGCTCTGCTCCTACATTCACAGACTCAACATGAGAAAAGTCAATTGGAGGTGGCAAACCTCAAGTACGAGAATGAATCGTTGCGCAATCGCTTGCGTGATGTCGTCAACTCGCCGCTATCCGACGCGGAGAAACACCAAATTATACAAGACTCACAGCGTTTACACAGTTCGGCGCCGGCATCCATTGCGTTGCCAAGTGTAAGTGAACTTTTCTTAGAAATTTCAACTAACTAACAAACTCACTCTCTTGCCCTCCTTCGCTCGCTTAGACAACGGATAACGATGTGGGCGGCGGCACGCCTTGCCTCACGCCCGACTGGGACAAACATTCGTCGTCGAGTGAGATTTCCGTCGCTTGCCTACAGGATAAAATCATACAAATGGAAGAGACGCATTACTCCACCAATGAAGAGCTGCAGGCCACGCTGCAGGAGTTAGCCGATTTGCAGGCGCAATTGAGTGACGCCCAGGCGGAGAATGAACGTCTAACCGAAGAGAAAGATGTACTCTTTCAGACACTCTGCCGACAAACTGAGAAACTGAATGATTCACGTACACAAATCAATACACTACGCACGGAAATCAGCTCATCCGAACGTGAACGTAAGCTACTCGATTTGATTAAAAGCTCGCAAGACGAACGCGAAACGATACTTGTCAAACAGGAGGAGCTTAATGCTGAACTGCAGGAGTTGCGCCAGCAATTAGATGCCGCACTGGCGGAATGTACGCGTACGCGTGAACGCAATGCACTACTCGACTCTACGGTGGATGCAGCGAATGCCGAACGCAAGCAAATGGACGCACAGCTTGCACAAGCCAAGGAAGAGATCTCACAGCGTAGCATCGAGATGAGTCGCTTGAGTACGTTGCTCGAGAATGCACGCTCAAAAATCGAAGAGCTCGAACAGGATTTGGCGCGTGGTGAGAAAACGGATCTGAGCGATTTATTGGATGCGGCCCGCAAAGAGAAAGATGCGCTGGAGGGGCGTGTGGCTGAGTTGCAGGATCAATATTCGCGTGCACAAGCGGAAATTAGGCGGCTCAAAGAGCAGTTATCTGGCATGACAGAGGAATGCAAGGTGGCCAAGAATAATGCCAAGTGCGCTGTCTCGCATCTGGAGTATCGACTGGAGCAGCTGAAGCAGGAGAAGGACAAATTGTGTGGTGAACATCAGCAACTGGTCGAGAGCACCAACGAATTGCAGGTAAATACACACATTTACATACGTACATACATACAATGCAGAAAATTAAAATCAATCTCGCAACTTCCTTGCAGGTGCAATGTAAATGTCACTTGGAGGACAAACAACAACTACAAAACTTGCTCAGCGAAACGCAAAAACATTTGTGCGATGTCGAGTGCAAGCTGAATGCAACCGAAAAGCAGCTGGAGGAGGAGGTGAAACTACGCAAACAGGAGGCGGAGGAGTGGCAGCAATTCCAATCCGATCTACTAATGACGGTACGCGTTGCCAATGATTTTAAGACTGAAGCGTTGAGTGCGCGCGAACAGCTGGTGCTCGATAATAAAACGCAAAAGGAGAAGATACGTCTGCTGGAGCAGCAAATCGAGAAGTTGACCAAACAACGTAAGGCGGCCGCTGTCATTTAATTAATGCTTCATTGTTGTTGTCTTTCTCATTACTATTGTCTCATCCATAGAAATGCAACAAAACGAAACACAGCAATCGGTGTTGAGCACAGTCCAGCAGGAGATGGCTTCGCGGCGCAGTAAAATCGGCAGTGGACTGAATCGGCAGGATTCGCGTTTGTCGGTGAAAACGCTAATCGAAAGTATTGAAAATAATAAGGTGAGCAACGAAAAGAGTTTTGCAGTTGATAACGGTACCGATTACAACAGTTTCGACACCATTATATTTATTTATTATTCATACCTTAATATTGCCTCTACCATCTTTCAATTCTCCGCACTTCAGCCCAAAGTTGAGGAGACCGAGTCGCATTACAGTTCCACGTCTAGCCTAAACAGTGCTACGCCGGAAATAAGCAGCAACAATATGCTACCGCCGCTTGGCAATGCTGTGGCAGCGGGCGCGGAGTGGAGTGAGAATGTAAGTACAAGCAAGTATTTATGTATGTATGCATATATTTTGAATTAATGCATTCGATTTGCTGCAGGTGCGCCTACAACAAAACACAACAACGGCTGCTACAGCACCAACAACAACAACAGCAGCAGCAGCAGCAGCATCAAATAATCATAGCATACCAACGGTAGCAAGCAAAACGCCGCTGCGTGAACAACAATTGCACCAACAGCAAGCGGCATCAGCACCCGTAGGAACAATAGCGACGGCGACATCGTCAACAACAACAACACCAACATCAGCCTTAGTTAACAGTAATTTGCACCATTTTGGTGGACTGAATAGCGTTACGGGCAAATCGCTTATAAGTGGTAACTCACATACACACACACACACACACACACATGCGCTCCCTCTAACTTTTTATTTATTTATTTTTCTTTTAATTTTTCAAGGCGAACGTAAGGATCCTTTGAATATGTTGGCGAAAAATGGTGGCTCTAAACGAAATGCACTCCTCAAATGGTGTCAAAATAAAACCGTTGGCTATCGCAATATTGATATCACCAACTTCAGTTCATCATGGAATGATGGCTTGGCATTTTGTGCGATTTTGCATTCCTATTTGCCGGATCGCATACCCTACGATACGCTGAATCCGACCAATAAGCGTCGGAACTTCTCGTTGGCCTTTGCAGCGGCCGAATCTGTGGGCATACAAACGACATTGGTGTGTACAAACAAATGCAATATTACATACATATGTACACAAATATACAGATACATTTAATTTTTATTCCAGAATATCAACGATATGTGTCAGATTGAGCGACCCGACTGGATGCAAGTGATGTCCTATGTAACGGCTATTTACAAACATTTCGAGACGTAGGCAGCAAAAGAGCAAGCACACAAACGCAAAAAAAACACACACACAAACACACACAGACGTATATACATACATACATACATGGAGTAGTTGGCAAATATTGCATTGGCGAATTAGCGATTATTTCGATGTAGTTTGCCATATATACGGCGTGGTTTGTGTGTATGTGTGTGTTTACATGCCGTATGCACACCTTAGTCCCAGAAATTGCTGCGTTTGTCGGAGCATGGTGAAATATTAAAGACTTAATCTGCAGTATAAAAAAAATACATACATATATTATTTAGTGGCAATGGCATAACATACTATATAGTACATACATACATACTCTAACATATTATCATACTCTTGTTCCATAGTTTTATTTAATTTTCTTTTAATTTGTAACTTGTATTACTGCTTATATTATTGTAATTAATTTACACACACATACATACACACACACACATATAATTTATTGAATAAAAGAAGGTAAAAAATTTGAAAATATTATTTTTTACTGCCGAGTACGTGCACACGACAGAAGCCTGGTCCAACCACCTTACGTCTGCTAAATACGACTGACTTCACCATTCTTCCCTTCGCATTTGGCTGGAGTCGTTTGAAAACTCATTTGGACTTTAAAATCCATAGGGAGTGAGCCACGCCTTAGGTGGGCACACGCTTCCAGCGCTCAACTGTGTTTCGAGCTTCTACGGCTGAGACCTTAGCATCTTTCCCCACTTTGGGAAACACCGTTTCGGGCTTTTCGGGCATAACGTGTTAGGTTAGCACATGCTGCCAGCCCTAAACTGCGTCTAGAGCTATTCATACAGCAGTACCCCGTCATCCATCTATCACTCCTCCATAACCCGCGTTGTGAAGGTCTTCTCGTGATAGACTGGACACTTTAAACTCAACAGCAAGGCACACCAGGGAAGGATCGACGAGATGGGCAGCTCTATGACTCGAGAGCATCTGCCAACAATTGTTGATAGTGGCTTAGCGTTTATCTGATATCTGGCATTCAAGCTTTTCAAATGACCGTAGAGGAATGCAGCTGGCTGAAGAGATTAGAGGACTTTACATTCAATTTGCATAGCTCGCCTGACACCTTAATTGCTAACACCGTGTTGGGGTCGAGTCTACATATGTCCTCGAGTCGTGTGAGGAAGTTCAAGCTCTTCCTCAACTTAAAGTGATGCTTGAACTCCGATTACGCTATTCACGGGAAGCGAGTTAATAAAGATATTGAGCACTTTAAGAATGGCACTTATGGTCTGTTAGTAGAACATGATCGCCGAGGTCATCTAATAGAAAGTTGAGGAGACATGTAGTCTCGACGGGATAGGGCCAGAGGGAGAGGAGGATTAGATATGTCAGCTTAAGGGGGCATATGAAGGTGGTTAGTGTCGTGCGGAGACTCTCCACAGGCAGGGCATACGTTGGATATGCTAAGGTCAAGTCTGGACAGATAGGATGGTGCCTATTGTGGTGTTCCCTACGTTGGCATCCCAATAGGAATTGCTTGTACAGGAAAGCATTATGCTTCTGAACTCGTAGCATAGATGCTGCGTTGTGAAAGTGATGCTCCGGCAACATCAGGAGGTTTCCTGCCTTGGTCCTTAGGGCAGTGTTTTGGCAAGCCTGTAGCTTCTTCATCTGCGTCTCGTTCCTCCCCGGCGCACAAATCGATGCGGCATAGTTTACAACCGACCGGCCAATTGCTTTGTAAGTTGCCAGCAAGGTTTCTGTGTCTTTACCCCACGTGCTGCCGTCTAGCGCTTTGAGTATTTTGTTGCGGCTCTAGAGTTTTGCGGCGATTGCGGTCTCAAGACAGCCGGTTCTACGCACCGGAGTACGGACCTCCTAAAGAGCGTGTTTTAGACAGATGCAAAGCTTATTCATTTGAGTCTCGGCTAGTCCACGTTTCTTTGCTCTCTCCCCACTTGCTTTGGCTTTCTCTTCTTAGCATTCTAAATTTATACATCGTCGAATTTGACTGGAAGTCTTGGGTTGAAAAGGTAGCAGTTTACTTTCGAGCAAAATTTAGCACTTTAGCATAAGCCTTGGCCGTACATCAATATTGAGCTGTCATTGACGTAAGAAGAGATCAAGAAAGCCTTCTCTGAGCGCAGTTAAAATAAAAAATTAAATACTTTTTTTTTAGCCAAAATTATATCTTTTATATTTATATATTTATGCTTGTCCGTGCCTATGAAAATCCATAAGAATAGGTTTGTATTTTACTTACGTATTTCTTACATTTTTCCATTAAAAATGAAATCAGTTAAAACGAGTTTTGCATTTTTTATAGTAAGTGGTTTTATTCACACGATTTTTTTTTTTTTTTTTTTGGTTCAACAAGTAAATATTTATTAACATCGAATATATTTCTTATGAACGAATTTATTTGTTTTATTTTTTAATATATAATATAACATTCAAAAACAATAAGAAAAACTTATACAAACATTAAGAAGAAAAATCGTCATAACATGTAAAAAAAACCAATATTAATATTAATTAAATACAAACCATACAATTCATACACAGTATATTTATTACAGTTTTCACAGCTACATTATATATATATATAATATATATAAAATAAATAAACTTATTACAATTAAATTTAAAATATATAAACGTTTTGTATTGTCTAAAGTAAAACGTACTTCTCCAACTTTATATATTGAAAACACAGCCTTACGTAAGCAATGCTGCTACATGAAGGGCAGCACTGGCTAATACTTTTAATTTTTATACAGCTAATGAATTGAGCTGACTGCACACTTTATTTTTTAGATCGTAATTTGTAATTAAAATTAAAAACAGCCACAAGAAAGCAACAAACCAAGGAAATATGTATATATAAAGATTTAAAAAATCAGTAAACCAATACAGTGAAAAAAAAATATTTTCAAAGTCAATCATAGAAAAAATAAATAAATAAAAATATATGTATCTTTATATGCAAATTATGCGCATATTTTTACAAACATGTTTATTTCAATCTCGTTTCATATATTCAAAACGTTTTTCTTTGCTTTACAAAAAATCATCACCAAAAATAATTATTTTCTTAAAAATGTTCTTTCATCTTCCTTTACAAAAAGTCTTCGCCGAAAATTAATGTTTTCAATTCTTTTATCATTTTTTTTTTAATTTATTTTGAATGTTTTTTAAATTTATTTTTAATATTTTCTTTATTTATTTTTAATTTTTTAAATTTATTTTCAATGTTTTTTAAATTTTTTTTTAATATTTTCTTTATTTATTTTTAATTTTTTAAATTTATTTTTGATATTTTTTAAATTTATATTTAATATTTTCTGAATTTATTTTTGATATTTTTTTTAACTAATTTTCAATGTTTTTTAAATTTATTTTTGATATTTTTTTAACTAATTTTCAATGTTTTTTAAATTTCTTTTTGATATTTTTTAAATTTATTTTTAATATTTTCTAAATTTATTTTTGATATTATTTTAATTAATTTTCAATGTTTTTTAAATTTATTTTTAATATTTTCTAAATTTATTTTTAATATTTTCTAAATTTATTTTTTATTTTTTAAATTTATTTTCAATGTTTTTTCAAATTTATTTTCAATGTTTTTTAAATTTATTTATATTTTTTAAATTTATTTTTGATATTTTTTTAAATTTATTTTTAATATTTTTTAAATTTATTTTTGATATTTTTTAAATTTATTTTTAATATTTTTAAATTTATTTTCAATGTTTTTTAAATTTATTTTTAATATTTTCTAAATTTATTTTCAATGTTTCTTAAATTTATTTTCAATGTTTTTTTAAATTTATTTTTGATATTTTTTAAATTCATTTTCAATATGTTGTCCCTTTTTGATTATTTCCATATAATATTTTTTTATATACATTTTTCTTTTATAAACAACCAGAGCTCATTTTCTGCCCTTAAGATCATTATTTTATATTTGACAGTTTAAAAAGTATTGTTCCTAAATGTTAAAAGTTTGAATTTTGTTTCTTTCATCAAAGAACACAACGTCCATCATACACTGTGGGGTAGCATTGATATAAACAATGTCAAATGGTGGCTTTATAACTAGTGTTTTAAGCACATTTAATGGATTAACTATTTTAAGTTTAAGTATAGGAGTAATAACCAGAACCAGATACCAAAAATTCTCTTCGAAGACAAAATTTTGGTGCGATTTTAACAAAGTGCTTAGATTTTAAAAAGGTATTATATGGGAAGTAAAAGAAAATGACAACTATAAAACTAAATTAAAACGCTAACAAAGTTGCGAAATTCTTTTGACAAAGTACAATTCCAGATTCGAAGTTGCCAAAGGAGTTTCGTCCATTAGAGGATTCGCAGGATGCAGTAATCAACGACGATATGCCGGAGACGAGTCAACGGATTCGGAGTAGTCTACAAGAGAGAGGATTAATACAATTGATATAGAATAGAACTTCTTTGGGAAAAAGGAGTTTTCCTGTTACGGGTATTGAACGCATTACAGGAAGTGGAGAGATTCTGTGCAAAAAACAGAAATTTAACATGGAAGAAAATAATTATCGAAATGAAACAAGGAATATTACACGCTATAACGCATCGCAAACTTCGAAGGATCGAATCCGAGAATTTTTCATTGAAGGATTTAAGAGATGCCCTACAAAGCGACGATTCCTACACGATATTATTAAAAAGACACTTAGATGTGAAGCTGGTGGACCAAATTAGAGAGATTTATTTGAAAAACACCGAGGAGCCGTCCTGATCGTCTGCGACCATGATGAAAACATACATTTTTTTTTATAGGATCTTTTAACAGGTGAAAAGTCGTGTGGTGTGTAAGTGGACGCGTTGTCGTTTTCAAGGGACCGATGAGGGTTAAATATCAAATGCACTAGGTACCCTCATCAGGGTATAGGGTCTTCCTCATTCTTATAGCAATAAACCCTTGCATGGCAACTACCCTGCCAATTTATCCATATCAATCTTTTTCATGGCGATCCTGTTGCTTTAGTAATTCATACTTTACAATAGCAACTCCGATAATAATCGGATATAAGGTAACCGGATAAAAATTGCATGTTTATATGTTAAATGTTTAAATCAAAGCAGAGCTTAGAAAATATTGCATATATAACTAATACAACATAACGACACGGCTTCTTGAAAATCATGCCCATCATATCGTGTATCAAAATACTACGTAAACAAAACAATAAAATGGCATATTGACATAAACGAAGAATCTGGTCAATAACTCTGCGCTGCTGCTATCATAAAGGCATAGCTCATCATAATAAAAGCAAGGGTCATATTACACCACGTCAACGTCCACTTTATATGCTATATCAGCAAACATATGGTTGCTGAGCGGAATCGCGGAAATGAATTGTGACAAAATTGTAGTATAAATAGAACGTAGAAATCTTCAAAAATTTAATCAATACTCAGAACTC